CTAACCCTAACCCTAAACCTAAACCTAACCCTAACCCAAACCTAAACCTAAACCTAAACCTAACCCTAACCCTAACCCTAACCCTAACCCTAACCCTAAACCTAAACCTAACCCTAACCCAATCCTAATCCTAATCCTAATCCTAACCCTAACCCTAACCCTAACCCTAACCCTAACCCTAAACCTAACCCTAACCCAATCCTAATCCTAATCCTAACCCTAACCCTAACCCTAACCCTAACCCTAACCCTAACCCTTAACTTAACTTAAATCATGCTTCTGTCGGCACGCTGTTGTCGGCGCACTGTTGTCGGCGCACTGTTGTCGGCGCATTGATGACGTCGCAGTTTTAGCGCCACGGTTTTGTCATGCGCGCATTTGTCGGGTCACGGGCTCTGCCTGCAATCAAATTACATTTGGGGAGGGACAGCACAAGCGAGCCAGGGTCCTTCCCTCCAGCCTTTGCCCAAAGCCCCGCACAGCATCAGGAGGATGAAGTTTGAATTTCTCCCCCTCCCTCCAACCCACACATACCTTTTCCAGCTGCTTCAGAGAGGACTTCAACTCTACTCTTGCCTCAGCTCCTCTGAAGAAGCCCTGCCCAAATGAGCACCCTCTATTATGAGGCAGGAGAACTGCGTGCCTCACCTATGTCAGGAATTTTGGGGCTTTTAAGCCTCTGCTTAACTGCTCAAGCTATCATAAAACACCTAAAAAGTCAGACTAGAAGAGGCACGCAGTTCTCCTGCCTCATACTAGAGGGCTCTTTTAGAAGCTTTTTTAAACAGTTAAGCAGAGTCAGCCACGGTGGGGCAGCAACTAGCTCAGCCTCACCTCAACTCTCGTCTTTTTCCTTTTACATTTTTTTTCTTTTCATGATGACAGTGGTGAGGCTGTGCCTTACCTGACTGCACGTCACTGCCTGAATTGCCAGCTGAACTAAGTCTGAGGAAGCATAAATAGCAAAGGATACAAGCGAAGTCAATGAACAGGGTTATGGATGAAGTCATCCTTGTGAGCAGGAAGATTTGCAAAGCCCTTGGGTTCAGTTCTTGGCTGAAACACTGACTCTTCACAAGTCCTTGGATAGGCCTGCTTAAACTTAAACTATGTTTCTGTCAGAATTCAAAATCTATGGCTGACTTTTAGACTTTTTTTTTTTTTGAAGATTGGGTGCAACTTTATCTTCAGCAGAGCCAACAAGCTTATGATTGGCCATAAGACTCTTTGGGATGAAAGGGTAGTATATAGATTTAGACTCTAAGATAGCTCAGAGTTTTTTGCCTTTTGACAGAATAAACAAAACATCATGTCCAGATGTATTATTAGAGAAGAACTCTCTGTTTTTAAACTGGTTACTCAAGAAATTAAGGTGAAAGAAACTTGAAAAAAGGAATGCACAAAATAAGAAAGCTGGACCCATTTTATCAATAATTCAATTGCAACAGGATTCTTAAAAATGCTATAACTTTCTGAACCCTGTAAGGGTTTTGGAGCAAGTATGAAAAGTCTGGGGTCCTTCCATTAAATCAGTCGTCTTCCTCTCACAATGGTGTTGTTTCATTTCAGGCAATGCGGGTTCCAAATAATTTGTAAAATAGTCAGAACTCTTTTTCTGAGTTATGGTGTACTGTTATCGCCAGTACACACCAGAAGATTCTATCATTTTAATGGTCTTGGGATTTTTTATGATTCAGATATTTTGACATGATTTTAATGATTTAGAATATTTTTTGGGTTTTTTCTAAATGATGTTCTTCGTGGCTGCTACACCATTGCTACAGTGATTAGAATGCTACCTCTGTCTTATTGATATATAGTAATGACATCTGGTGTCTGTTATAATTGCTGAAACATCTCTGTTCAGCAGAGGTATGAGTGAAAGAACTGGACAGATGAACCAGAAAAACAGAATAATAGAGTTGGAAGGGACCTTGGAGGTTTTCTAGTCCAACCTCCTGCTTAGGCAGATAATCCTACACCACTTCAGACAAATAGTTATTCAATCTCTTCTTAAAAACTTTCAGTGTTGGAGCATTCACAACTTCTGGAGGCAACTGATTAATTGTTCTCTTAGGAAATTTCTCCTCAGTTCTAAGTTGCTTCTCTCCTTGATTAGTTTCCACCATTACTTCTTATTACCTGAGGTGCTTT